CAAATAATATTACAATTACAATTTTATTACAATTATAATAATTAAAATTTTTGTTGAAACATTATTTTGTTTTAGGTTACTCATATGAATGAAGAAAATCAAGTATATTTATTAAAATATGAAAATGGAGTTTTAGTCAGCACTTTAGCAAATTTATATCACCTATGTGGACAAGAAATTCCTATTTATCCAACCATAGATCCAAGTGATAAAACTTCCACTGGTGCTGTTATTAGAGAATGTTTGTTTGCTATTATTAAAGTTCTTATTAATCTTACACATCGATTTAATAGACAATGTAAGATTTCATTATCCTTTTTTTTTAATATGTACGATTTATTCTTATAATATATAACACAATGCTTTGTATTTATTTCAGCTTTCGGAAGTAAATCATTAGGTTCACAACCAGGTGTTTTAGATTGCAGTTTATATCTTTTATTGCGCGTTCCTGAATCACTTCCTGAAGAAAAGCGTTTTGATATGATGATGTTAGCTTTGATTTTATTAATAAATTTAGTGGAACAATGTGACGATAATAAACAACTTCTTATCGAATCTAAGGCTCCCCCATCAACAGAAAATATTTTTGACGGTATGTATTTTACATAGTACTTTTATATATTTTCACAACGATATAAATTTAATATTTAATGTTTATTTTTGTGTAACATAGCTGAAGAAAGCGGAGTAGAATGTTTAATCGATCTATTTTATAAACAAGAAGAATTGGCTCGTGCTGAAGAACAAAAAACAGATGCTATTTTAGATGGTAAAAAAGATTCTGAACAAACAGAAACTGTATCGACAACAACTAAATCTCAAGAAGAATTTATTGAGGAAACTGTTACAAAATGTTTGTATAATTTTTCTTTAAGATGTTATAATTTTGTAAAGTATAATATAAAAAATCTTCTTGGTTTTAGTACTACAAAAAGCCGGACGTCATATGGAGCATACTTTAATAGGAGCCTATGTAGTGCTTTTACTTGGTTACTTAATAATGGATAATAAGGTAACAATTTTAAAACTAGATTTAAAAAACAATATTATCTAAGAAAGTAATACAATGCATATATTTTTAGGATTATGAATCGTTGGTACGCAGTAGACTTCCAGATAACAATTTTACTACTATGGTGTCTGTACTTCAAAAATTCTTCAATTTTATGAATTTAACGGCGTCGGTAATTATCTTTAATTATATTTCTTTTTTTTTTTTATAAAAGTTTACATATTCAATCATTCTTAAGTATACAAATAATGTATTTTAGAATGAAATAAGCAGCTGTGGAATTGCTGCTACTGAAAAGGTGATTAAGTTCCTAAAAGTATCTGATGCCCGAATCGAAGAAGAGAAAAGTGAATTACCATTATCAGCGTTAGAAGACCCAAACATAATGCTCCGTTTATCTTCGTCTTGATTGATATCACATTTACACATTTGATATTTTTTATTACCCTGGCATGCAAAAAGAGCCAAAGTTATATGTGTCCAACGAAAAAAATTCTATCTATCGCAGTATGATTGGACCTGTTTCATATTGACCATATATTTTGATATATATTTATTCACTTACGTAATTTATTGCTGTACCTTTCATTAAATTGACTTATTTCTCCAATCGCAGTAACATATTAGACATTAAGCATAAGTTAATTAATTATGCAGAAATTAATACGATAAAGAGCGCGCCTTGTAATTACGCATATGGCTCACTTAAATTTTTTAATGGCACGTATGTAATATTAATTTACTTGCTTCGCCAATCAACCATTTTTTTTAAATCTTCTAACTGTCAAGAAGAGTGATAAAGTGTAAACTTCTTGCCAGATTATAATTCGTTTGCTGTATAATATGCATAAATTTCAAATTCTACAATTGTTTTGAAGTTTCAGTTCATTTACATTTTAAATTGTACTACTTGATTGGCGGTGTTGGGGTTTATTATAACCCGTTAAAATTTAAGATAGCATTATTCTGTAAGTTTATTTTAATATTTAAATTATAAAAATATAAGCCTTGTAAATGTAAATTTATAAATTATAATTGTATCTTAAATTCACAGTTTCAAGTCATTGGATCCCATTAAGAGGTATTAAAATGTCATGAACTCTTTATAACATATTTTACCTGACAACCTAAAAGGAAGAATAAGAGATATATTACATTGTTATGTATATGCAATAAATTAGCTTCATACATTATGAGTCTCTGAAATAAACTATTTTTAAATAAAAATCAATCATGTGATGTGCTAGAAAATGTGAAACAATTTCGTTCCATGCAAAAATTGATTTCATTTTCCTTTTTTTGCGAAAAATTAGTTTAGAAAAAAATTTTTTTTTTTATTTTGAAATAAATATTTTCAAAAGTATTTTGGGGGCATTTAACATGTGTTAGTTCCAAATAAGATTTCTACTTTATCATAATTTGTAAATTGGACTTAAATGTTTCGCACACGTTTCTATGAATTTAAGAATACATCTATACATGTATGTTTTTAATGGCAAGTGCCCATTCTACAATGGATTTATTTAGAGCCAATTTGTAATATATCAGTTTATTAATTGATTTATGTTATTTTATCTTATGTTATACATTGAATAATAACAGTATAACCAAAAAAGTAAAATGATAACTACACATCTTTTTTCAAAGTATGTACTGTTAATGTGATCTTCATCATCTAAATTAACCTAAATTCAAATAAAATTATTTGTAAATTTAAAGTCCAAAAAGTTAAATAATCATTTAATTGTTGATTTTTAGAAGTATTAGAACTCAAATTACATTGCCACTTCGATGGTTACATATTACATTGAATGTACTAAGATCTAATTCATCATCATCTGATTCATCTTCTGATTCTGATTCAGATTCTGAATCTTTCAATAAAAATAGAACGGGTAAAAACAGAAATATTGTAGGAAATAGTGATGATATTACTAGTTTAACACATAATGTAAAAAATGTAAATACTTTGTTACTTTTAATGTAGAAGAAAATTTCTTTCAAAATATACGTTAATATTGTTTGTTTTTTTTTATTAAAGCAAAAGTTGAAATATGTAGATTACTTACAAGCTGCAAAGGAAAAGCAAAAAAGAAAACAGATTGGTAAGATTGTGATTCATTTTAAGATGCATGTGTCATAAAACAAAAATCTTTTATTATAGGAAAACAGTTAACTAAAGCAGCTGATGTTTTAACTACAACGGTAGAACCAAATAGAGAGAAAGTTCTTTCATCATTATTAGATAATATTTCTACTATTCGAAATGAAGATAGTTCCAAAGCATTACATAGAATGTTTGTATCTAAACTTTTTTTAGCATTATTTATTGTATTTAATTAAGTTATATTGGTGTTACATTAATTTTATATTGACAAAAGTGTTAAAACAGAATTTAAACAGCCAGCAAAACAATCTACTATTAGGATGCGGCAGCAAGAACACAAAATAACAAGTAATGTTAATAAAATTGGTAAACTTCAAAGAGGATCATCCATAATTTGGGAGTTGCAGGAAGAGCAAGAAAAAAAAAGTAATATTAATAAAACTGAAAGAGAAAGTAATATTAATAAAACTGAAAGAGAAAGTAATATTAATAAAACTGAAAGAAAAGATGAAGTTCAAAGAGAACCATCCATAATTAGGATGTTGCAGGAAAAGCAAGAAATAACAAGTGATACTACTAAATTTGAAAGAAATTATAAAAATAATAGAGGAAGATTATCCACAATTAAAACAGCTGGAATACAGAAAACAAAAATAGAAAATATTGATAAGGATAAAACAAAAACAGAGAAAAGGAGGTTGTATTTTTTATTATGAAAAATTAAAGCATTTGTGATCAAAATAACACATGTAAAATTTTTAGGTACGACGCGTTTACATATTGTGAACAAGATTTCACCAATGATTTTGCAAACCCTGCTGTTGTTCCTGAGTTGAAAATATGGAACTTATGTGAAGAAAAAGAATTGCAGCTCATAACAACTTTGTTTCCTAAAAATGGATTTGAAGAAATGATTCAATGGACACAAGAGGGAAAATTATGGAAATTTCCTATAGATAATGAGCAAGGTACTAATCTTAAGATCATAATGTACTGTTATTACTCAATATTTCACTAAGGTTTACGAAAAACATTTAAGAAACCGTAAATATATTTCGTTTATTATGCAGGAATGGAAAAAGAGTATAATGTGCATTTTTCAAAACATGTTTTTTTGGAACGTCATTTGGAAAATTGGTGCCCTCTTAAAGGACCAATACGATATTTTATGGAATTAGTGTGTATTGGTCTTTCAAAAAATCCATATATGACAATTGAAGAAAAACAAGATCACATAATGTGGTACAAAGATTATTTTAATGATAAACGAGATTTGTTACAAAAACTGGGACTTGTAGAGTAGAAATTGTACATGTAACAAAGACCAACTGATCGGTTTAAAAAAATGATAATGCAATAAAATAATATACATAAAACATAGTATTTATTGTTTTGTACATATATAGTTATTAAAAACATACTGTTGTTATCTTGTATATATTACATTTTTTCTATTTCTATTTTAATTCTAAATTATTGAAATTTCATAATTGTATTTTTTTTTACTTTTTTTTTTATATCAATGTATAGTAGGTAATTTGAGTCATTAATGTAGAATTTTATGGTTGATTTGTGTGATTAATTTTTGGGTAAAGTCTTATTCGAAGATTTATTACTTATTGGAAAATTTATTAAAGTAATTATTGAAAGGGGCTACTGCTTTCAAACTCATATAAGAAAGTTGCTAGTGGCTCATACTGTGTTCCTTAATACTTAAAGTTGTCAAATTTATCGCAAATAATGAGATTTTAATGATTTTTCACTGGCCGACTTGATTTAGCGCCTGAAAGCAGAGCGTAGCGGCCCACGGGCCAATAGTAAACGTTTTTTCTCTATCCGTCTCGTATACAGTAAAAGTTCTATAAAAGTTCTTTCGGATCTACGCCATGAATGTTCATGGTCTATCCCCACCACAAGGGGGGACCACCCTTCAACCAGGCAAGCGAGTAATGTGACACGGCCGCGGCATCTCTTTATCGCAGTCGGCGTCGGCATGTCCGTGAGGACAATACTAACAAAACTACAAAAGTTTGTTATTTTCAATCTCTCATATAATGTTTAATAACTCTTACACTAAACCGAATATGTTAATAGAAATTATATAAGAATATAGCCAAAGAAGTTACCTTTCAGACGCATATAGTTAGTTAAATGAGAATTTAGTAGAAAGCTATGAAATTATTGAAAAACTGTAAAGGTACTTGACGGTATGCAGTATTGTTTCCGACATCACGTACTAAAATTGTTAATAACTAATTACTGAAAGGGTTTAGTGCAATAAAAACTATATGTGAAAGTTCACACTATATTCTTCAATTTTAAAAGTTCGCAAAATCATCCTAATTAATGAGTTATTAATGATTTTTCACCGGACACGTGGCTAAGGCTCTGGGAGGAGGAGCATAGCGGTTCGCTAGCCAATAGGAAGCATTTTCTCTCTGTCCTTCTCGCACACTAGTGCTTTCTTTGTCTAATACCTCTGTTTATATCCTGTTTTCCTATTAAGAAATCATAGTTCACGTCATTAAACGCGAGATGGCGCTAGTTTCGGATTTCAAATTTTCTGTCCTTGTCTATCACTGTTCCTTTTTTTGTCTAATCCTATCCTTGTCTACCCCTATTCATTTCCTTGTCTAATTGATTTCTCCAGTGCTATCCTTGTCTATCCCTATTCCTTTTCTTGTCTAACACATGGCGCTATTGCTATCCTTATCTACTCCTACACCTTTCCTTGTATTACTCATGTATCATCGAGAGAAATGACAGAAATGAATTATTATCAAGTTAGTTGATTTTTAAAATAAAAATTCTTCGAATTTTTCGTTTTTATTTATAGTTATTGTAAATTAGAGCATAATTGCATGTAGTGAGCAGTTTATAATTGATATTTATAATCAATTTTTAATTGTTTTAACATTACTAATAATGTAGATAGTAAAATAAAGCTTTCGGTTCATTTTAAAGTACTTTAATTATAGAATAATTAGTATTTTTTGTTAAATAATAATTTAGATGGTGCATTAGAATTACCGGAATTATTATATAAATTTGTTACATGATTTAACTTGATAAGATAGCTTAATTTATTAATTTTGCTTTGAATTAACTTTTGTATTCAATGGATTAGTTAGAAATTGTTTATAACTTTTATTGAAAATTAAAAAATTAATGTTGTTTTTGTGTGAATTACTGATGCAACTCTCAGGCTATTACAGGAGACAAAGAAAGAATTTCAACACGAGGAAAAATAAAAAAATGCAATTATTTATCAAAAAAAAAGTTATTCATTGTAAGATAATTGTACAAAATGTATTTTACAAAAGGTTACAATATATCAGTATTGTTTTATAATATTTTACTCTCTATTTATATCTCCGTTACACACCACACCCATTTCCTTTTGCAAAACACTCATTCTTTATAATATTCCATTAGAAAATTAAATTAACTAAGTACGGATATTGTTAGAAATGCGGAAAAATAGAAAAGATCGTAAATATTCCGAAATTCGAGCGAAAAACTTAAAAACTTACGCGAAACTTACTTACAAACATACTGACGCGCATGTGCATTTCTATTTGAGATTTATTAGGATCAAGTGTAGTTTAGTTTTATAGGTTAGTTTGCACCGATTTTTAAATTTGTGAAGAAAAATGATTGAAGCAGAAAGTTTTGAAAACGAAAATGGATTACGCTCAGATGGTAGACGAGCAATGGAATTAAGACACATTCGTGTCAGAATGGGTGTTTTTAGTCAAGCTGATGGAAGTGCTTACATTGAACATGGTAACAATAAAATTTTTGTTACAGTGTATGGACCTCACCAGGTTAGTAATTTATTAAATATTATATTTTT